TTTTTTTTTTTTTTTTTTTTCTTTTCTTCTCTCTTCGATCAACTAGCGATGACGATGACGAAGAAGAAGAAGAGGAAGAAGAAGATTTTAAATGACGATGATTCTTTTTATTTTGTTCTCTTTCTTTCTTTTTCTATTGGCTCTGAGAGACGAAGATGTTGGTAGTTAATTGATAGTCCATTGTTAAGGTGTTGGAGCGCAGCGGTGGATGAGGTGCAGTTTGGTTGAGGTCAGGCAGCTTTTCTGTTCCGAAAGGATCTGTGACCGCCGTGCTACTGACGAGTAGTACCACCGACACCTAGCACTCTCGCACCACCTCCGTTGTATCTGCCCCCTCCACTCGATTCCACTCCTGTTCACCCTCAACCCTCGATTTTGTTTACAACGAGAGTCAGACGACTGAGGTGGGGATCCTCGGCAGACCATCGCCACTTCTACGAAATTCGCAGAGGTAATTGTCATCTTCTTGCTCGATTTTCAGCGGTTTTATTGGGCGATTAATTATTGGGTCAGATTGGGAGATGATAAAGCGATTTGTTATTCTATTTTTTTTTTTTTTTTTTTTTTCTTTCTTTCGAGAAGCTCACAGAACTTTTGAAATTTACAAAGATCCCGTAGTCATAGAATTTTCGAGATTTTTTCTTGATCGTACAATATTCAAAATCTGGAGAATTTCAAACAGTGCAGTCTCTAAAATTCAAGAAGTGGTCGAACTATAGAGTGTTTTCAATTTTCGACTTTTCCAATCACCTCGCTCCTGATATTGAATAATCGGTGGTCTGTGATTAATTGGATTCGTGAACGATGGTTTTTATTAATTTAATTTATTAGCATGCACTCGAGGTACAGACGTGTACGTTTCATTTACATTTAGATTACATTACACCTAGCAATTATCAGAGTGTAATTAAACAAATTTCTAACAAAATAATGAAATAACAAATGAAGACTTCTTAAATATAATAATAATGATAATAATAGTAATTCATACACACTGAATAATCCGGCAATAGTAATAAATCTAATTCAACTAAATGATAAATCTAATTTGTCAGATCTTGTTGTACAGTGCCGATAAAATAGCGCTCATTCCTCATTCAATGTTCAAATAATCGTCGATCAATGTTTCTCAAGTATCTGCAGCTGTTTTACCTGGGGTGACACGGTTCGTTGATCAGAGTGGTGCGTACATCGACATCGTCGTTCGCTTGCTCCACAAATTCACCCTCCTCGACGTTCCACCCGCCTTCCCTCGCCATTGTCCGGGACATTTTCGCGTTGCCAATTTTCCTTGGTTCCTTATAAAAAAACGATGCTCACTCTCTGACACCACAGCCTGCAAACGAGAAACAGATCTATTGATAAAAGTAGAAATTTCTATTTAAATTTCACTTTGATTTTAGATGATCACAGTTGTTTTTTTTGATGACGGTAGTTGTTGTACAGAGGGAAATTTTGATCGAGTTGCCCGAGGATATCAGGAAGAGTGATTATGAACGTATGAATAATTAATTTGAAGTTTGTTGTAAAATGGAGATTGCCGTTTGTGCAGTTTCAGCATCGATCGATGTCTCCGTTTTTCTATTAATAAATCTAGTTTATATCAATTTATGTGATACGAAGTATGGTTATTTTAGCACGGCGTAAGAGTTGAAACTGTATCAAATCTCGCAGAGTCAGTGTTTTCTTTCTCTTCTTTATTTCCTCTCGTCGTTCTTCGTTTCCAATATCAAAAAAAAAAAAAATATTTTTCGAAATATTTAAGAAATTTTCAGAGCGAAAAGTTGCATAATTTTTAATTGCTTCGCTGTATGTATCAACACGCTATGCGTAAATATATCTACTAAAGATACTGTTGACGATTTCGTTTAAAATTTTTGGCACTTAAAAGCTTTTCCAATCATTTTTATACTTTGATATATATCAAGATTTGATATATCAATAATTTTTACACACAGTAATTATTTATTCAGCATTCTTAAACAATAATTTTCTTTAGGTGAAAATTTTTCAGGACACGTTCGACAAATTTATATAAATATCTCTATCAGATTTCCTGTCAATAATTTTTGCACATAATTTATTTGTAAACTCGACTGATAAATTTTAGAGTAAACTACGGTAAATCTCTCGCGGGATGAATTTTTATCGAAAAATTTTCGGCGTTTATCCAACGTTATTCTTCGGGGAAATGGCGTTCAAAGCCACTTGCTTGCTCGAGATGCATGCAACAAGCGGTTGATCAGGCTTACTGCGTTATTGATGAATATTTGCAGTGCACTTTGCGCCCATAAAATCGCGGCGGGATTGTGCAATTGGTTAAGCAATCGAGCCGCGATATTTTGCTCCAAGTTTATATTTTTTACGAACCAATAAGTCTCTAACTAATTGTCACGTTAATGCAATTTTATTAAATTCGCCGAACAAATTCAGTGTATTAAACGTTTAAAATAATCTTTCTCTGTTAATAAGAAACGGCAGAACTTGGAAAAATTTCAAAATGTCTTTTTCCTACAATTCTGTCCCAACGGAGATTACTATAAAATAGTCAATCGAATTTCATATTAGCCTTAATTAATATTGAATCACAAGGGAATTGTTTTCTCGAATTATTAATGAATCGAAATTGTCAGTCAATTATCATCAGTATAATATTATGTAATACACATAATTACACAGCATTATTATCATTAAACGTTATGTTATATAATTATTATCATCAATTACCATCAAGAAATTTAAATAAAAGTCTCGAACTTATCACTACTGATAGTACCAAAGAGAGTTGCTTCCTGACGACAATTTAATCTCTCAACTATTCTCCGCGTGTATACACGTACGTAAGTATGTACATCAAGTAGTTACCTCGGAAACGTCCTGAAATTCCTCCACTGTAAAATTCATGCGGCAGAGCGGAAGGGTGGCATGCCGAGTGCCACCCTCTCGAGCATCTTCAATTGTTTACACGATATCACGGATGCATCGAGCCACGTGGCGAATTCAATGCGCTGTCCAAACATCCACTTTCACTTCAACATCCATTAAAAAACACCAAAACAAACGATTTAATTTACAGCCCTCGAAACAATCGAGCCCTAACGCGTAAAAACCAATAAATACCATCACTGTTGCATCGCGGTGAAGTAAAATTATCTTTATTTATTTTACACTCTCGAGTTTATTTCATCTTGGTGATTTCATTTTAATCAACACAAACATTTTTGTTTTGCTGGTTTATAATTTCAACGTGTATCACTTTCCAAGGCAGTATTCAATATGATTTTTTTGGCACTTTTATCTAGTACCATTTTTACATTCGATTAGAATTGGTATTTCATTACAGTATTTTACACTGTGGCATTTGTAGTATTTTAATATATTTTTTTCTTTTATATAATATTCTAGTAGAATATTTTTCAATGTGTTGTATTTAGTACATGTTTCATCATTTCTTTTTTTTTTTTGTGAAACAATTCTAGATGGAGTTTGAAGTTTCCTTTTTTATCGACGAAGTCGTCGTTTCGACATTTTTGCTCCTTTCTTTCTTTTTTAAAACAAATTACTTTTTTTTCCGGAGGTATTTTTCCACGTGGAAAACAGCAAAAAAAAAAATACGAACACGGACGACGGTCAATGCTGGACTGGCGATGGAATTTCGGCGCGACTGCGCGAATCGACGGCGCACCTTTTCTATTTTTCTTCTTTTATTACGGACGTGTCACGTTTTGCGAGCGTTTTCAAAAAACATATATGTTCACTCAAGATCCCGAAATAGCGTAAGAATTTTTTTCGAGGACTTTGGGGACGCTTGGAATTTTTATTTGTCGGGGACATATTTGTAGATTTGCGGTAGGGTCTTAATGAAATCGTTTAGAGGGAAAGTGCTAATTGGGGCGTGGAAGCTTTATGGTGTCTGGCGTTGATTATGACACTGGGAGCGTGAATTTGACATATTCTTCTTCTGGTTTTGGCGAATGCTTTTGAAATCAACGCTGGATGACTAGGAAATATTGATTATTCAATCTTGGAAAACTTATCTGTGACTGCTCTTTGAATTCGGAAACTTAAAAACATTGAATTGAGGAAAAATTGAAAATTAAGATGACAGATTTTTTAAAGATCGATAATTGGAGATTGAAAAGTACAGGCAGAAATTAGAAATTAAAAACCAAGTAAGTTGTAGCAATCTTATCACATGTGAATTGCAGGTGCCAAAATTTCTCACTTTTTAAAAAATCATGCAGCTGAGGATTGAAAACAGCGAACTGTGAATTATTAATAAATCCATTTGTATGAAAAGGCTTAAAAATAATGAAATAACGAAAAAGATTGAATGTTTTATTATCGAAAATATTGCAATTTGTATTATTGTAATGTCGAAACCAATTAAAATCAAGAGTTGTGGACAAAAATAATTAATTTAGTGTTTCGCTCGTGTTTGGGTGAAGGGGTTGGGAATTATAATTGAGATGAAATAAGAATTGTATTTACAGGCGGGTTTCAGAAAAATTTGAAGAGTGGTTGAAAGAATCTTCTTGAGATTCCCTTACCAGCGAGACTGTTTTCTATTTCCCTCTCCATTTATATGGTCATTCTCTGTTGCTGTTGCTGCTGCGGCTGTGACTGCGTTTTACGAAGCTGTTGCTGCTACAAGTCGATATCAAGCATGCGCCGTCATTGTGAATTCACGTCATTATCGTAATCTTGAGGAGCCACGTACGCGAGCCAATAATTTCCAAAGAATTTATAATTCAATAGCCGTGCGTTAAATCCATTAAAAGTATTCTCATCGAATTTTATCATGAAAAAGCGAAATATTCATTTCGATTTGATATTCTGCTTCCGACACACAATACACAGATTCATTAAAATTTAATATATTTTAAATATATGGAATATATATCCTTCGATTTAATATCTATCATATTTACAATATTCTGTTAACTTCAATTTCGGCAATAATACAATTACAACGTTTTCTAAAAATTATTCTTTAAATTCTCACGATGTCGACGTTAATATCCAAATTAAAAAAAAATATTTTTTCATTTAATAAAATTGCAACAAAATAAGTTACTTTGCTATCAGCTTTCACGTATTATCCCGTTATCGTACAAAAGTACGTCAAAAATAAGCCGAATAATATACATACATACATAATTCAGCTACTTAACAATGCCATCAAGTGTTATGACAAGGTTTCAAGGTATTACAATAAGCTAAGATCGGAATAAGGTTAGGTCAACATACAAAAGACGCGGGCATAATAACGAGATGCGAGATTTCATCTCACGTTCAACACGTCGAGACGTTTGTTAAACGGTGGAACGAATTTGCAACCGAGTTTTTGAATTATTGAACACGAGTGACGCAACTACATCGGGACGCGCTACGAATTCATTATAGTGTATACGCAAAAGGCGGACGACTCGTCGACTCGATGGTTAAAATGCGGGTTAAAGAGCGGCTCATTTGTAACAACACGACCAATGTGGGTGGCACAATAACGACAATTATCAACGTTGCTAATTATCGTCGTTGCCATTCAGGGGCCCATACACCGGATCTTCGGATCAAAGGTGCGGCTTATGTTAGATGCTATCCCCTTCCCTTGACCCTTTCTGCTTACGCCCCTCCGATAATATTGTTTGAACAAATATTTATCGCGTGTGTTTTTGTATCTCCATGTTTCACATGTTGCATTACTATATAATTTTGCGTGTAATGTTGCATAATTTTATGCGTACAGTGACTGAAAAAATGAATGAAGTTTTATGTCACAAATTAAGACAAGGAAGCATCATATTCCTACTCCTACTATTTAGTTCCATTTATTTCATAAAATTGATATTGGTCGGAATACTTTTGCACATTTTATTATTGATAATTTCGTTATCTCTATCGGCGTTTCCATTTCCAAGTAATTCTTGATAAAATAGCTTCATATTAAAGTCCAACAAGGAAACAGTCATCCAATCGCACTTGATGTTAAAACACCAATAATCGTTGATTGCTGTTAAATTATTGAAATTAACCGAGGTAAGCTTCAAAGTGAATAATAATAATCTAATTGTACATTTATGCATTGTAACAACATAATTTGCATTCATTATTTGCTGATGATAACGTAATTACAAGCCACATGTTCATACAGAATTTGTACTATATCTTAATATTTTTCATATTATAATTTTCACTTTTCAATAAAATTAAAATTTAATCTATACACATTTTCCTTAAAATCTCGTGCTTTTTTTATTACAGAAAAGTGCCTTGTTCCCATTTTCTCCTAATCGAGCGATAATTTTAAAATAACACTCCCTATAAACGAAAGAACAAATTTTTAAACAACGGACTATCCTACGATCAACGCACGAGTTCAAACATTCGCGCGCCCTTCGTTGTCCCTAGCACGGCATGCTGTCCCATCTAGTAACTTTCCTTCATCTCTCAAAATAACCCATAAATTGCACGCCAAAAAATTTTCACGCTATCGTTCACTTTTCTACTACCTCCGCAGATGAAAATCACGCGCGGAATTTCTCGCGATTCCTCAAATTAAAACGTCAAACATTCCAGTAGGTTGACTTCTGCAACGTGCAACGTGGCGCCATCTTGCGGACGAGCGCTCAGTCGCGCGCTTGCACGCTCCATGGCAGTAGGCGGACCTGTGTTTTGTCGGGTGGTTAGGTTGTTCGTTCCCTCGCGTTCGAACGCGAATTCCAGTACGAAAGAGCCATGAAATAAGAGGATCGTACGATGCACACGACGCGCAGCGTGAGCTGAGATACGTCTGCACGTCCTACCGTTTGAAAGTCGCCTCGGTCCGAGCCGCGAGAGCCTCGCGCGCGCACGTTTTTAAGGTTAAAACCGTGCGGAATCGGTCGGGCGCGTAACAATGCGTCGCGTGAGAAATTCGTACGGTGAAAGTCTGCTGGACTTGTACGTGCAATCGGAATTCCGACGAGGCGAGCGTTGTCGCGAGCTCCTCGCCGCTTTCTGACCGCCTTCCACCTCGTGCGTGCGTGCGTGCGTCTCGTTTCGTGTGCGTTTTCGTTCGCGGTGCAAACACACTACACAGCCCTGGGTCGTGCGAGAGACGGAGAAGAAGACAGTGAAAGAGTGACAGAGAGGGAGGGAAATGCCGAGGCTGCTCGAGCGGCGATGATTCCGCTCGAATTTCGCCGCTGTCCAATTTCAGATAGGATTTCTTCGCGTTGCTCGTGCGACGAGTGACCGTAAACAGAAACCGCGTCCCCGAGGAACATGCGCGCTCACGGAATGGAAACGTAACTGCTCTCCAAACTGTTTCCCACCGTCGAAAGGTAATCGATGATCTTACCTTCGTTAGGATCCCACCGCTCTTCTCATTTCTTTTTCGTTCCTCTCTTTTTGTTTTCATTTTCTTTTTCGGAAGGAGAGCGATGGAGGGGGATTTAACATGTGCTGCGTTGTGTCTAACTGACGCGCACGGTGGTCCTCCTTTCCGTTCAAATTGGTTGTAGATCGCTTTTCTCGTTCTTTTTATTTTTTATTTTTCGAAATTAATCGCACGAAATTTTACGAAAATGCCCCGTTCTGAAAATGTTCTTGCAAAGAACAGTAACGAGTTTGTTGGCAACAATATTCTCCGAATACCAGCTGACTAATCCGAAATCTATAACTTATCAATTAGTTAATGAGTAATCGTGCGAGAGGTCTCTGGCGTTCTTATTTTGTTGGCCTTTCGTCCAGCCTTGAATTATTATTAAAAATAGTCAGCCAGGTAGAGAATACCAAGCACGCATCATTGAAATTCTTTTCTATCGTACATCAAGTACGATCGTTAAAGCAACTGATTCATGTGTGTGTGTGTTGCGATCCACACTATATGTATCCATGTCGGATGTTTTTTTTGCACGCATAAAGCAACGCATGGCATGGCATGTGCCGGCAATTCTTCTCTTCTAGCAGTTAAACATTATCTCATTTCCTGTTCGAGGGGGGACAGAAATGAATGATAAATACTATATTTGTATTATTCTATACGCCTACGTATAATCCTGCGATATTAATTGTCTCATGTATACGCACTGCGAGCAAATAAAAACAGAACCAATTTAACAGCGCCGAGTATGTACACATAATTCTTTTCTTGCCCCTGTAACATTGTAATTTCTGAATAAATAAATTGTCTCCTTGCACCATGTGTTTTTTTCCTTTCTTCCCATCGTCCACCTTTACAATTCAATTTCACTTACTTTTTATTGTTAACGTTGACAAACGCAATAACGTGTTCATCTTTCAGGATATTAGAATAATTGAACATGGCAGAGGATGAGGGCACGGAATGGCTGCAAGAATTGCTGCACGATGTGCAACTCTCACAGTTCTTCACCAGGATAAGGGATGACCTACAAGTCACCAGGTTACATCACTTTGATTACGTACAGCCGGAGGATCTTGAAAAGATAGGTTTGGGAAAGCCAGGTATCAGAAGATTGTTGGATGCAGTGAAGAAAAAGAGGAATACTCAATGGAAGAAAAGCTTGATGACAAAGATTAGGCCTGGCGGTAGTACGAAAAGCAATAAGAGATCCTCTCAGCCTGTTGAGGGTTCCTCGGTGCTAACGTGTCTCATTCAGGATAAGGATGTGTCACTGTCTGTTAAATTGGGTGATGGTAGTTTCGGTGTGGTGAGACGTGGAAAATGGACTTCTCCCTCCGGTAGAGTATTGCCAGTTGCTGTGAAAGTTTTAAAAGCCGATGCGCTGACACAGCCGAGCGTTATTGAGGATTTTGTGGCTGAAGTCCAGGCAATGCACACGTTGGATCATCACAATCTCATTAGGTATGCGTTTTAAGAAAAAAAAAAACTACGGATATTTAAGCAAACTTAAAGAAATTTCACATTTTAAATTAATCGCAGTCTATCGGTGAGCTAAGTTAATTTGACAATTATAATTTAACGAATCGTTTTCTTACAGGTTGTACGGGGTAGTATTGTCGCAACCGATGATGATGGTGACGGAACTGGCCCCTCTCGGAGCGCTGCTCGACTATCTGCGTAAACAGTGCAGCCAAATTTCAGTATTAACCTTGTGCAACTACGCTCTACAAGTGGCAACTGGAATGGCGTACTTGGAAGCGAAACGTTTCCTGCACCGTGACCTAGCTTGCAGAAACGTTCTCCTGAGTTCAGTGGACAAAGTGAAAATCGGTGATTTCGGCCTAATGCGTGCGCTGCCGCAGCAGGAGGACTGTTACGTGATGACAGAACACAAGAAAGTGCCGTTCCCCTGGTGTGCTCCGGAATCTTTGAAAGCGCGTCAATTTAGTCACGCGTCCGACGTGTGGATGTTCGGTGTAACGTTATGGGAAATGTTGACGTTCGGTGAAGAGCCGTGGGTGGGTTTGAAGGGATCAGAAATTCTTCGAAAGATAGACAAGGATGGGGAACGACTGCACGAGCCTGAGGCAACCCCGCCAGATATGTACCAATTGATGCTTCGTTGCTGGGCTCGAGAACCTACGGAGAGGCCAACCTTCGCCTTTTTGAGGTCGTCTCTCACAGGGATGGTCCCAGCCGTAATGAAAGCCGTCAGCCACTTCACAATGGCTGGGAAAATGACTATAGAACAGGGCGATCAGATAGTTATTCTAGATGGCCGGCCAGAAAACTATTGGTGGAAGGGTCAGAACCAACGAACTTTCCAAATCGGACTCTTTCCTCGCTGCTTTGTAGATCCTATGAGGCGAAAACAGCCAGAAGACATCAGCAAGCCACTAGAGAACTCCTTCATCCATACTGGCCATGGTGCACCTTTCGGCAAAAGTTGGGGCAGTCCCATTTACATCGACGACGTGTACCTTCGAAATCCAATGGAACCACCCGATGTCGTGGGAGTTACTGTACCATCCGACAATCTCGTCAAGGATAAATATTGCGGCACACCGAGATCGCGAAAACAATTCAATTACACGAAACTGCAGAACGACGTTGGGGCTAGCCCCGTAAAGACGACCAACACCTCTGTCCCAGGTGGTAGCCAGGAAGGCAGTTTGATAGATCTGTCCCCGGAGGAGATGGTGAATACGAGCGAGGTGCAATCAGATACTGCCTGTCGACGAGTGGTCAACATCCTCGACGAACCTATCGACGATCTGGAGCGGCAACACCAGACAAACTGGCAAGACGAGGATCCTCGAACCTACGCCAATTTCCCTGGCAACGTCGATCCGGCTTACTCAGACCCGTTCGATACTTCCTCTGTGTTCATGAAGTTGCCCCATTCGAGATACTATAGCCAAGTTCCCTCCGACGTGAGCAGTCGGTATTTCAAAACGCAGACGTACGGGAATGTGCAGAACCAGGACGCTGGTGGTAGCAGCCAGGACAGTACAAATTATTTTACGGCCGAGTCCGCCACGAACGTGAAACATTATTCCATAAATCTGAGCAAGGAGAGTAGGAACGATAGTATTAACCTGAATGTGAACGTGGACACGGAAGAGAACAACGCGTACAGCCAGAACCACTACAGTGAAATTGACAAACCTAGTCCACCAATGACGAATTGGTCTAATTGGCCGGAAGATTTGCAGAACGACGCGCAGACGTACGTGAATGTCTCTAGTCGGAATTTTCAGAGCTCTGACGCGCCTCCTCCGCCACCCGTGGCTCCCAACGAGAGTCCACCGAAGCCAAAGTCGAACCACGACTTGGCCCAAAGTCTGAGCGAGCTGACGATCAACGTCAATTCTTGTAACGTCTCCCCGAAAAAATTAGACTCCGCTTTCTTGGCTGAGTTGGAGAAGCATTTGGGTGAGAAGGAGGCGAGCAAGAACATGATCACCAGTCAACAAAACCCAGATTTGTCCGATCCCTACTCGTCCGTGAGCAAACTACAGGAGAGCACGATTCCAGCGTTGAGGCCTCCACCTCAGACTATCAAGCGAAAGTCACCTCAAATGGACTACAGAAACACCAGTCTACCCAGCAAGGTGCAGAATTCCTGGCCGTCGAAGAGTACGAACATCCAACAGCCTCCTAGAACACAGCTCGAGCAACGCTTGGAAACAAGCACAGAACAGATGGTGGGTCAAATCTGGCAGCAGTCTCAAGCCCAGCAGCACAACGCTTACGCTACTGCCCAGAGTAATATGAACCTATTGCAAATAGCTCCTAGCAATGTGTCCAAGCCAACGTTCAATCACGCACAGAACTCGCTACCAACGTCCAACCAAACCAGCCTCTTTCAGAATCCCTTGTTGCCAGCTGGTAGCCACGGAATAACCCAGATTCAGAACGATCTTCACCAAGCACACGCCAGTAACGTAGCCTCCAAGCCTCCGAACGTCGTGTTCTCTGAACAGGTGTACGCAGAGTTGAAACAGACTGTACCGAATCTGGACCAACTGTCGCAGAACGAGTTCAACACGCTGTACAACAAAACGGTGCAGCAGAATATTTTGAGGAACTACTACGCGGCTAGTACGTCGAGCAGTCCCGCCGGTGATTCGGCCAGCAATCTAAGTCATAGTCACTATCTGGAGGGAGCTTCAGCCAGTTCCCAGGCTCGTTCCTCGGGGCAGTCTGCGAGGAATACTAGCGGTCAGGGTCATCCGTGCGACTTCAGCCCTCACCTGAAGCAACCGCCGGTGTACAATCCTCCGCCACCGGCCACATGGAGTCCGATGAAGTCGATTCAGAACGAGCTGGGACAGGGACAGAGCGCAATGAAGTCCAATTTAGCCAGTAATCTGGTCAACAGCCCCAATCTGTTGCAGCTCACGCACACTAACCAGCCTCAAGAGGGCGCCATGACGGCGCAAGCATCCTCCTCGACGAGATGTCTGCCTCCTCAGATGACCGAGACAGTCGTTAATACTCAATTAGTCCCCTCCACGTCGGCGTACCCCTCTGGCGTCAGCCCACCACTGACCGCCGCCTCTCAACAGCTGGTCATGTCCCTTAACGACGAATTTCGAGCGAACAAAGTGATGAAGGTGCAGAGAGAGGCGGCCGACGCGTCGCAACAGGAAATACTCGCAGCGTTACAGGCCACTGGCTGGGACACTAATCAAGCGGCTAAACAGATACTGAAAGACAGACAGGCGAAGATCGAGTCCCTTGTCAGGTACGTTTGTTCGATTGATTAATTAGATTGGACGAGTGGTTTCGCAGATTTAGGAGAAATTTGGAATTGTGGAATTTGGTGCGTTCAAGATTCGAAATTTCGAGGAATGTTTTTGAATTTGATTTATAGAATGGAGTTTGGCTCGGATTTTCGGCTAAATTTTATGATAAATTAGTAAGTTGGATTAAATTAGCAAAATTTCTCTCTTGATATTCAAAGTTTTTAGAAATCAACGATTGGTGAATTTGCAAAATTATTATTATCCTTTCCTTTCTTCGTTTCCTATCATATGGTCTTCCCGTGAATGTATATACGTTTGCTCTAGAGCAAAAGAACTGAAATATTATATTGCAGTTTGTGGTCGGTGATCCAGAGTCTTGCAAGTTGGAAATAAAGTCAGTCACTTTTTTTTTAACCGAACCTCCGATACAAGTATAGCCTCTCTTCCTTGAATTTCATCCGTAATCCATTTCATGGGAAATGACGATACGACGGATTGATTCACTTTCACGTTCTGACAAATTGAGAATATTATATTCTAACTAATCCTCTCTCGTAAAAAAGAAAAAAAAATAATGAAAAATTTTAATTTTAGCTCCTAGATGGATTAATGAAAGTTCACTGAGTTATTGGCAGTAAAAAAGAAATCTTTTTTTTAATTGTGCAACGAGGTCGAAAGGTCTGCAAAAAAAAAAAAAAGAAGAAAAAAAGAAAGAAATAACGCAATCGACTGTTGCAATTTCAGATTGGGCTTGGCAGACCGACAACAGTGCGAGGGTGCTCTGAAGCAGACTGAATACAACGTAGATTTAGCGGCTTCCCTCTTGTTAGACCAGGTCAAATGAAGAGAAGACATTATAAGCGAGCTCGCCGTTACTGAAGATATTGTAAAATAACTGTAGCGATATAGGTATATGTATTTATAAACGATAGCCATACAACGCGTAAAAAGAGACTACGGGCTCCGAGCATAATTATTAGTTCAAGTGTCCTCCTCGAAAAAGACATTGTCTTAGAACCGTGCACTGCGTCTTATAACACTATGGGGCCATTGTAAAATCTTGACAATGTTCACTTTCCAGGTGAAAAAAAAAAAAATGTTGAGTGTTTTAAATTATATTCTTCAAAGATACGAATTAGTGTATAATATGAATAGTATGTAATGCAACGTGCAAAGAAGTCAAGAACTGTCAAAATGGTTTTACAATTACAAGACGCAGTGTATCTGAAATGTGTAACTGTTCGAGGTTCTGCTCTGAGGTTTATAAAATACTTTCTGAAGAAGAAAAGGTCATCAATCAATACCTTTCTTACCTTTATTGTTTGTAACTTGCTGAAGAGGAGCACGCGGGCTGCATTCCAAAAATTCCTACGAATGAAAACGAAAGGGAAAATTCCGCGAGTCGCCGTAGCGAACCGTGTCTCAGAAATTTTAGATGTCGTAGAAAACGAAATATTATTGTTTGGCTAGCGTGCGAACTGTGAACTGTATTTTACAAGGAGGGTAGGTGGGGGTGAAAGTAAGTGTCTTTTTTTTCTTTTTCGAGCATGTTCGTCTTACATACGTGCTTCACATCGAGGAGAAAGTGTATATGTTTTGTGTTGTGTATCGGTTTGTTTTATTCTGTAAAAGAAATATCGACACTGACCTCTTGAATGGGCAAATTATTCTTTTTTTCTCATTTCATAGAGGAAATGTAATTAATTTTTTTTTTTCGAAGTATTATTGTAATTGATATTCTTCGCGTTGAAATACTCAAGAGATTTTTGTTTCTAGGAAAAAGTATTTATTGCTCGTTTTAAGGAAATTCAGTGAATCCCTGGCTATTTTGTTCATTTATGGTGGGCAATTTTTTTTTATGCCACGAAAGTATTCTTCCACGTTTTCAATAGAGGAATCTTCTATTTTAATACGGTCAGCATTTTGATTAATAGTAAGGAGATTTTTATTCTTATAGAAAGTCTTCCTAATATTGTAAACGAGACTGTGAATGTTTATGCATTTATGGGAAATTCAGAACTTTACAATGCTAAACATAAATAACTTTTTAAAGATACAATTTAATTGATGTATTTTAAAACGAATCTCCATCGATTAATAATTATTATCCAACTTAAATTAAATTCAAAGTCTATCGAAATAAAATTATTTCTTTTTAATTTAGACGTGTTAAAAAAAAAATGCATTAAAACTAAATATTTGCATAAACATTTATAGTTGCTCCATAAGTGAATAAAATGGCCATCAAAATCGGACGACCACTATATTAGATTATGTCAATTGGAATCTGAAGCTCTTCCCGCCAGTGAATGGCTGTCTGTAATTAGATCTACGTGACCGGAAGTGAAAAGCACTCATCGAGGATCTATGCGTGTTTCATATATAGCCCGATGAATTCCATGTAAAAATGGCAACTCTTGCGTGGTTGGTATTTCATGCATATTTATGACAGTATCACCGTGAAAGTACTCGTAAACGTTTATGTTTTTATAATTGAACTTTAGAGAGGAAGATCGTGGATTGAAAAGGATGAATTTTAACTGAAAAAACACAGTAGAACTGTTTAAACATTCATAAGATTGTAATGGGATTCCATTGTATATTATTTTGATGTATTTAGAAATTCAGAAAGTTCCACTTAACCCCATTGTGACAAATGATTGGAGCTATTAAGGTAAATAGCGAATTCTCCAAAGTATATAAAATTAATAAAAGTTTATGTACAACATTTAAGTTGACACTCGACTAGTATCATTAGATAATTAGATTTTTGTGCATTTATGGAAAGCTTGGAAGTGCAAAAATGTCATGCAGTGTGCACAATATGCATAAACGTACAAAATGTCCAAATTATAATGCCCCTATATATAACAATAATTCTCCATCGAAATTTTTACAGTTTTGTCAGAATATCCGCAATTGTCAATATTTTAATATATGATATTTCGATGAATGAAGTTCTACTGTGTTGACAAGTAGCGTAAGAAGTTAAACAAGAGACGACTGTTGCTGTGAAGAGCTTCCGATCCAATCGACCAAAAGCACTCGGATAATTTCCAAGAGATAATTTCCACGACACCGTGCGAGCAAACGTTCTGTCAATTCGAATTGCATCGCTGCCTCTCGAAGCCAGCTCACCCGTCACTTGGAGCAAAAACTGTCTCCAATCTGATATAGTTCTAGCCTTAAATGTGCACACGGCTCTCATGTAAAAACAACGCAATCGTGACTGACGAAAGTGTTCGAGTCTGATAGATATACAGTGATTCACGAAAGTATTTGAACATTTCGCAGAAAACTTTCATGTATATATATATATATATATATTCACACACACACACATATATATACATGTGTGAACATTTTGGGATTTTTTCAAGACCACAACAAGACACAATTATCAAAATCAGTACTAATCTTTCTCTGAAACATACCAGATCGAGAAATTAGGACCAACATTAGTTTAATGCAATTAATGATAGTATTAAAATCGATCGAATTATTATATTTTTATATTTTTCACTCGTAAATATTTTGTACGAGCAATTTTAGAATTCGTTTATTCAATTTAGAAATTGTACTATAGGTAGTCATTAGACAATCAACGTAGTTCTGTGTTTCCAATCATTTCCAACGCTTTTTTCAATCTTGTTTTTACCTTGTTGAAATGTCTCGCGCAATATGGTCAAAAAAAAGACCTCTCTAAGCGTTCAAATACTTTCATGTGGAATTGAAAGTGTACATGTGTATAAAGTTAGTTTGATACTGCAAAGACAGGGGAGGGGGGAAGGGAAAGATGATTGCCAAGTAGCGAGAAATGTTGAATTTTTGTAACTGTGATATGCGTTACTAAAGGCTCTAGACAGTACCGTTTAGAGATAGAGAGAAAATAAGAGAAAAAGAGAGAGGGAGAAACAGAGAGAATTTCCTTTTTCTCTGTTGTCCTTATTTAGGTATAGATTAGATTATTATCGTGTAATACGAGGAGTGTACATAGCCGTTTTTAGTGGCTGAGTTAAGCTTATGCGATTTTTCTTTTTTTTTTTTTTTTTTTTTTTTTTTTTTCTTTTTGTCTTTTCTTCTTTTATTTCTCTGACCATATGCGTGGTCGATTCGTTCGAAAGACGTTTAAAGTGTAATTGAAACGCGTGCTTGATCGTTTCGCCTAACTTTCACGATCTGTCGTTCTGTGCAGAAAGGGAGAATACTCCTTTAGTCTTGGACTCTCTCAAACTATTGAAAATTAATTTTTAAATTATTGATATTTCTTTTCGAGATTTTCTTTTCTTTTCTTTTTTTTATATTGATATTTGAGGTCTAGGATTTAATTCTATAGTCCTAAGTTTAACGAAGCTGTAAAATTATCTTTTCTTTTTTTGAATGTTATGTTAAAAATTTTTTGTAGAATTAAACGTCTCTTTGTTCGTGGAAAGTGAGACTGGGACGTAGAACAGAGCCCAATTCCTTGTTTTTATTAATCTAAGAGATACTAGGTTATCTACTGATTAGTTAAAACTTACGTGGCGCTAGTATCGCATCAGCAGACGCCGTAGACATCTCAAATTGATATAAAGCATAATATTATTAATTAGTTTAAACTGCAGATTTCTGTGCACGTCTGCGTATTTGAAAATACTATAAAATATTCATGGTATATTATAAAATTTCTGACTAGTTTCCATTCTTTTTATGGAAATTCGTTCGTAAAAATACCAGTTTACATAAGTTGCACATAAGTTTTAGATTTTTAGATTGTTTTCAATCTTTGCATCGAAGTATATATATATATTTTTTATAGATTTATTATTTATTATAATTTAATTAATATATTAATACATGGTTTTCATACTTAATAAAGAAAGCACTGTGAGTTTAGAGTATAAATTCCAGCAATAAATGGACACCAGAGTCAAAAAGTATTAAGAACATAGAAAAGAAAATATTCTCAGGAATTAGAGTCCAAGATACAAAATTACAATAAAAAAGAAGAATGTTCACTAAAGTTCCTTTCTGCACATTCGATTGTACAATGAAAACAGGAAACACTGTGATTGTCGTCGATGACAGCTAGCCAATTCCGACACTTTATCTAAGAAAAGAAAGTCATTATTTTTTTAAGCCAAGCTGTTTTTCAACTAAATGGAAAACAAAACAAAAAAAAAAAAAAACGATAAAACGTAGAAAAAGAGGACACTGACAGTGTTTCCCACTTTTATTTCGGCAAACTTCTCTTGCCTAACCGATTAGGCAATCTCAATGCAACTCGAAGCGCGCGATTCGAACTGCAGTTGAGAAATTTATCATCGAAATTTTACGAAAGTGAGATGAACCCGTGTCTTAAAAAAAAAAAAAAAAAAAAAAAAAAAAAAACAGCCAGCAATCAATCAGCCGATAATTTCAACGCAGGTGACAGCGTCCCGGGTGGAATTTTAATAACGACATCGTAACGAGATTCACTCGCTCCTTCTTCCCGGTCGCCATGGGCAGCCTATTATCGATCACAGGATCGCGCTGAATGCAACGTTTCAATCCATCCGCTCGCGGTATACCTCTTCGACAACTTAATTTGCCGCTCGATCGTGCGCGCAACCCGCGCGCGACATTCACGTACCTCGCGCATATTTAATTTGAAATATCCCCGGCGCGCTGGGGAGAATATTTAAAGAGGGAGCCAAGCGCGTAGCGGTTTATTTTAATATACAAATATATATAAAATAAATTTTAATTTTAATATATAAATATGTATAGAATAAATTTTAACTTTGATATACCAAATAAATTTTAACTTTGATATATAATATACACAACTTCGATTTATAAATATAAACTTTAACTTTACTAACCAACTGCTTTATAATGTAAATTTTAACTTTGATATATAATATATAAATATATACAAAATAAATTTTAATTTTAATATATAAATATATACAAAATAAATTTCAACTTTAATGTATAAATATATATAAAATAAATTTCAACTTTAATGTATAAATATATATAAAATAAATTTCAATTTTGATATATAGAAAATAAATTTTAACTTTGATATATAAATATATATAAAATAAATTTCAACTTTAATGTGTAAATATATATAAAATAAATTTTAATTTTGATATATAAATATATATAAAATAAATTTCAACTTTGATATAAATATATACCAAATTTCAACTTTGGTATAAATATATACCAAATAAATTTTAACTTTAATATATAAATATATACAAAATAAATTTTAACTTTGATGTATAAATATATATAAAATAAATTTTAACTTTGATATATAAATATATACCAAATTTCAACTTTGGTATAAAATTTGGTATGAAATTTCAACTTTGGTATAAATATATACCAAATAAATTTTAACTTTAATATATAAATATATATAAAATAAATTTCAACTTTGGTATGAAATTTCAACTTTGGTATAAATATATACCAAATAAATTTTAACTTTAACATATAAATATATATAAAATAAATTTCAACTTTGATATATAAATATATACAAAATAAATTTTAACTTTGATATATAAATATATACAAAATAAATTTTAACTTTGATATACAAATATATATAAAACAAATTTTAATTTTAATACATAAATATATATAAAAGACATAGTAACTACTTTCTTCAAAAAATGACAAAGATTTTAGAGAAAATAAATATTGAATTTATTAAATATTAATTTGACATATAATTTTGAATTATAAGAATTTAATTTTTATTTTCTTATTAATAAATTTGCGACATACAAAAGTGCACATCATGCACTTTCCAAAAACGATCTCAGAGATAATAAATAGTGAATTTATAAAATTATTTGTGTCTACGAGTATGAAGAAATGTATTGCAGAAGAGTCTGTGTTTCGTCTTACCGTGCATATCGTCGGAGTTTGCCCGTGAATTTTGCTGCCATCGAGAAAATCAGGAGCCTTAGGCGCTTCCGGTTGCGAGTGACTTCTGGAGCACAAAGGCGACGAAGTGGGAACACTGCTGGCGTTCGAAACGTGGCTGGCAGGTAGCGACGTGCCGAGAGGGAAATCCGGTCGGTAGAACCACGTTGGCCACTGCAACATTAATTTACACATTCGAATGTAATTAAATTATATTGTAAAACTCCTCGTAATCTCGACTGAAAGAAACACTCGTATGAACGTATCCAAATTCACGTCAATATTTTTGTCAGTTTCCAAATCTTGATAAACCCACTTGATGAACAGTGTCACCATTCAGACCTCATAATCGTGAACAATCCTCGTAAAACCAGCAAACATCAATATCTCTAGCGATAAAACGTGCTGATTTATCTCACCAGAACCGAAGAGATCCATCGACCATCCTAAATCCCATTATTAAAACTAAACTGAAGCGACACCAAAAAAAAAAAAACGAAAAAAAAAGAGAGAAGGAGATACAATTCAGAGCCAACTATCCTCAATTTTATTTACAGTTTTACGAGGCGATTTATCGCCTTATCAAGATAGGGGCCAAGGATGTCACTCGACTTTATCGAACTCTTTCGGACAATGGAAGGAGAACCTTCGAAAAAAAAAACTGCCTCTTCGACGGAGTTGGACCGTTTGACTGTCATCGAGAGCAGTTACAACCGAGAAGAATAAAAAAAAAAAAAAAAAGAACGTGTCGCGCACGTTCGGTGAGATAAAGCCTCTGTTGCAACAGAGTGGAGAGCATTAGTGTCACCGAGTGAATGTGAAACCTCCCCAAGACGGATGACGTATGCTCGTGACCCCGTAAGAAGCGCACTCCGCTTCGGGGGTCGCCGGTATGCGTGTGGTCCATTGTACGTGTTCTTATAAAGGAGCCCGGGACGAGACGGCAGGCGAGAATGAAATGAAAAGGAGCCACCGGTGTGTTTCGTTCACCGTGGTACGTGAAGAGCTTTTGATCGTCGCGCAGACGACACGAATTCCACGCGATTATTCCCATTGACGTGTCTCGGCAAAATGGCCGAACTCGCGCGATCGCGACGCGATACAAGTGGTCGTCCCTTTGTCAAGGGATCGGATTTGCCTCGATCGAAATCGCGTTTCGTGTTTCCTCGGGCACGAGTAGAGTAGCGGGGAATATCTCAGAGTGGCAATTGATTCTGCGAATGTCAATTGTTGGGTGATTAAGGTTCTTAATAATATTTAAGATTAAAGATTAGTTATTACTCTAATTATTATTCGATAGTTCTTAATAATATATATATATGGGTAATTATATGAATTTTTTACACGTTCGTTCAAGATCGACAATAAATGAAAATAAATTCTGTTGATAGTCATTAAATATTGGTCAATAAAAATATAATTGTGACGTATTATAATATCGCGACAAACAATTTTGTATGAAGCAGTAAATGATCGCACAACACATACTGTTGACTTTGTTAATATAATTTTGTTAAAATTCGGCACTGTTTTGATTAGAAGGTCCTGAAGGATTTATTACAATTTAAAGAATTATATTAAAGAATAATATTTTAATATAACTTGAAGAATTATATTTAATATAATTATATTTAAAGAATTATATTGTAAATATAATTATATTAAATTAAAGAAAAATAAATATAATTATATTAAATTAAAGAAAAATAAATATAATTATATTAATTTAAAGAATTATATTAAAAATATAATTATATTATAATTAAAGAATTATATTATAAATATAATTATATTTAAAGAATTATATTATAAATATAATTATATTTGAAGGATTATATTGTAAATATAATTATATTAAATTAAAGAAAAATAAATATAATTATATTAATTTAAAGAATTATATTATAAATATAATTATATTATAATTAAAGAATTATATTATAAATATAATTATATTTAAAGAATTATATTTAATATAATTATATTAATTTTATATTTATTTTTTATTTAATACAATTATATTTATTTAAAGAATTATATTAAAGAATTGATACATTTTCACACATTATATCAAAGAATTGATATGTTTTGTTACTGTTCGCTTTACTCCCTTTCATCCTAGCTACTATCTATATTAACTATCTTTCTTTTCTCTCGACTATTTATCGTCAAAAAAAACTAAACCCAACTCGTTACACGTTAAAGTTCGTAACCAAATCACGAATAATACGAAACGTCGACGAATAAATCTGTGTTGTGAAATCTGCTTATCCAGGGAATCTCGCTGTCTCTCTACGGAGAATCAATTGTTCGTAAAAGAAAGTGACGATCGTTCTTACACGTTACAATTGAAACATCTCCAACGGAACGCGACGATGCATCGAAGTTATCGCTTGCACAGATAGATTAGAAATCCACAAGAGCCACGAGGATCTTACGTCACGCGCAGTGCGGTAATACTGCGTTATTTTCGGTAATTCCGGTTATTTTCGAGCGCGAGGATAGCGCGAGGGGGTGGACACGACCGGAAAGTCGGCAACTCGGTCGGGGATGGGAGAACGGGGAAGGCGGATGGACCGTTCCGCGGTGGTCTGGCGAATGTCTCTTGTCGTTGGCCTGCGCGAGTTAACAGCAAAACCGAAATAACAAACTCCTAAAGTTAGTGAGTTAACGCTACTTCGTCCGAGGTTTTCGACGCTTCTGTTATTTTCTGTTTACACCGCGTGGACGGAAATCGTTCGACCTTGCTCGAAACGGATGCAAACGGAGGAGACACCGAGGAATCGCATCCGCTTCGCCCGTTGTTCCAACTGCGAGATGAAATTGCAACGACATTTCCAAATGTCATGTCTAAACGTTAATATGAAAAATTTCTATTGAGAACGACATTTCCAAATTTTCGATTCTTTCTGTTCAAATCCTCTTGGAACATTAATATTAGATATCTCGCGACATCACCCCTAAGTTATTTTTATAATATAATTATTAACATTTATACTTATTTATATTTATAATTGTTAATATTTATATTCATAATATAAGAGTATATATTATATTAAATTAATAATTGTTATATTTATATTTATTTATAATATAACAATATATGTTATATTAAAGAATTAATATACTTTTGTGTTGTTTATTGCACACTTTTAGTAACTAATCGACTGCCTCACTTCCGCCTTAGTTACTATATTAATGTTTATTCTTTCCTCGACTCATTTATTGTAAGAATTAACTTGAAATTCGAAACTAAATCACTAAATCACACATCTAAACTTTATGAAATCTGCCTAGTACTCAGCGTAACAATTTTCTAGAGACATTAGTAACGTGTATATACATTATTACATTTCAATAAAAAATTATTTAAAACGAGAAATCAACTATTTCGGCGATTCTAAATTATTACAAACATACAAAACACAATTCAGATGAATCTTTTTAATTTAATCTCATTCCTTCGTTATTTCTTTTTAACAGAAGATTTTCTAAATTATTGTCTTTATACTGACAATATATGTTATACTTTTAAATATTATTACATAGATAATAAACTTTAATATCTCCCAACTGACTGCACAGTAGCGACTGTTCATACTCAATCGAATTCGTGCTACGAAATCACATTTTCATGCAACAGATGAATTTCAATCTGATGTTTTTGTATATGCCATCGAGTCACGATATCGTTTACGAACGAAAAAAGAAAAAAAAAAAAACACGCTCGATACGACGAACGAGTACGAATTTGATCCAAAGTTCGGGGATGCGTTCGTTCGTTCGTCAAAACGTGCCATTATTTCGATGCCAGCGCGGGAATTCGTATTACCAGAGAGAGCTAAACGTGTAACAATGGCCCAACCGGAACGTCCTCTTATGTACCACCCAGCTTTTATACGACGCAGTAAAGACGTCATTAAATCCTACCATCCCGTTTCTAATTTTAGTCAAACGAGACAACAATGACATCATGACAACACGTCATTTTTTTTTTTTTTTTACCAACCATTTAACTGTCCTGGAAGACAAGCGTCTTTAATCACTTGCGCTGGCAGCTGACTGCGGACCATAACGAGTGACCAAACACCGTCGGTGTAACATCACTGGATAAAAATTATCGAGAAGTAACAAATTATTATAAGGGGTCAGGAGTCACAGTGTGAAACTCTCAAAAAATCAACTTTTTGTTTGTTTGTTTGTTTTAAATAGTAGTTTGAAGTCTTAGAAATAAGATAGAAAAGGTTTTAATCTATAAAACGACTTATTTTAGAGTATAATAATAAATCCGCGGATACAGAATAATTGAATTTGTATCACTGTTGTTTGTCAACTTTAAGCAGTACTATAAAGTGTAAATCGTACGATTCAGATATTACTTTTGGTGAATCGAATAGGAGACTTGGATTCAATTTAGTTGTAAATTGTAAGAACTGTGAGCCGCGATTTATCTCGGAATCTAACCAACCGATTAGTATGAAACTTGGTACGTACTACCTTTAGTAGTAACATTTATTAGGGATTGACGATCGAACATTCTTTTCAATTTTTAACAATTTCGAAAGATATAAACAAAGAACGTAGAAATTTCTGGCATAAATTCGATACATCAGGAACAAGTAGCTGCTACTTTCATAATTTTCACAGAAATGAAAATGTTGGATCGTCAATGCCTAGAGAATATTGTTTACTTTTGAACTTTTTTCGCAATTAATCCTGTTCGGCTGGAATCACGCACACCGACAGGCAATGTAAAAAAAAAGTTATGCAAAAGGATGCCGTTAGAAAGTTAAATAAGAGCCCTCTTTTCTTCTTTCTTAATGTTGCTTTTCATAATGCGTTAAAATAAACCACAAGAGCTCGTGCTCAAATAAATGTGTAGTTTTTTTATTTTTTAACAGTCCTCCAAAGTATACTTAATTTTTATGCCTATCGCGCTGTCCTGCATACTTAAAACTGAGGAAATGTTACAATTTTGGAACAAAAAAAATTCTCGACGCGCGTGGCAAGAGGTTAACACGTCGTTAGCGGGGACCGACACGGACCGATGCGTACTTGCATCGCCGATATCGCTCGGTGCCACGTGTAATATCGACGCGGCCTATTTTCGTGTTTCGAGCCAGCGGGCGGGGGAGGAGGAAACCGTGGAGCAGGATTTTTCAGATTCCAGGGCC